GTTTTTGAACGGTTTTGGGAGTCGAACGGACTCCTGGAATGGATTAAGTTCAAGAAACGAGGTATCACTGTACTGTATAGAATGGAAAATAACAAAGCTAGCTTGCCTCACCCTAGCACTAACTGTTAGAGTCACTTAATCAGGAAGCAGCACCCAGGCACATTGTTATAAGAATTTTAAGGTCATATATATATATAATAAATTTTCATAAATGTACCAATGTCTGGAGCAGCACAGGAAGACCTTCCTGAAACCATTTTGACTCCCTGAAACCATTTTAACTCCCAAACTGACCAAATATTTTCTCTGCAAGGAGGGAGGGGTTGGGGGAACTTTCCCATTGTCTCAGGAAGTGGGTGATCACCATTTCAGAGGAGTGGGCGGACTACCAGGAGACACAATCAGATAAGGCATTATCAGAAAACCTGCCAGACAGGAAAAACAACAACACTCAAATTTCTGTTGTAGACCGCCTTTTCTGTGATGTAGGCAGAGAAAACAGCAAAGACCTGATGAAGAGAGCACAGCAGAGGTTATATTTTCTGAGAATCCTCTGGAAAAACAATCTCTCAAAGGACCTGTTGATGGCATTTTACCATTGTACTGTGGAGACTGTATTATAGTCTGTGTGTGTGGTTCGGGAGCTGCACGGCCAGGGGAAAAACAATGCTGTTCAGGCTTGTAAAGACTGCAGAGAGAATAATTGGGTGCACTCTTCCCACCTGAGATCAAATCTATGCTGCCAGGTGCCATAAGAAAGCTGCAGAGATAGCGCAGGATAGTACGCACCCCGGAAATGATCTCTTTCAGCTTCTGCCTTCTGGAAGAAGGTACAGGGTTATAAGGACTAGGACTAGCCGCCTGAGAAACAGTTTCTACCCAAATGCAATTCTGGTTTTAAATGCAGTATAAGGAGTCTCTATAGGAGTATATTGTATTTTAAAATGGGGTTTCAGAGTTTTTAGGGGTTTTTTAATGTCTTATTTATAAGAAAAGGTCTAGATACAAGAGGCAGTTGTTGCTTAGCCCATCAGTGCCTAAGAATAATTTCTAGTGCTAGAGGGTGTATGTCCTGGTTCACCACCGAGACACCTGAGTTAATTTCTGCCACAGCGTGGCAAGAAGGAATTAATTAATAGGACTTTCCTCCCCAGTGAGTACTCTGAAACCTGAGCTAAAAGCCATTTTAAAATAGGCATTCTGAATTGGTTTTCCTTTGGCTTGCCTTCACGCTTGCCTTCTGGCCACTGTGGTGAAGCTTGAGTTCATGCTCTTTTCCTTCCCAATCCTCCGTTTTAATGCAGCAGAGAAAGAAACTAGAAGTTTCTGGTTTTAAACTCACCACAGTTCCTAGCGAAACTAAGCTTTAGCCTTTGTTGTTCTCAAACCAGTATTGAAATAAACTGCTATTTAAATAAGCCACAGTTTATCCAAGATCCAGTGGCACAGAATCCATAGTTAGTTCAAAATCAAAAACATGTTCTTTCAATCCCTTCCTCTTCTGTGCTAATAAGGATTGGTGAGTGTAGATCATATAAACAGAAAGCTCGCAACTCTTTCAGATAGCAGGGAGCCTTGTCTGAACTGAGCCTTCTATATCTACTCAAATTAAAATAAAATGGTTTTCTCCACCTTCAGCCCCTGCATACACACGTTGAAGGTGCATTGCCAGTCATTAAAAACCTTCATTTGGTAACCCCCACAAAGGAAGCACCAACCAATCCACTGTGATTATTAACAAGCTGTCAGTTTAACAATAGATGGTCACCCAGAATCTGTAATAAAACTAAGAAAAGTTGCTTCCAGTGTGTTTGCTGATTCTGAAGTGGTCCATTGATCTTGTGTGGGTGATAATTCACCTGAATTGAATCAGGTGAATCTGCTTTGGTAATTGAATAGGGTGGGTTTCTCCTCCATCTCAAATAATAGCAGATAACTTATTGTATATCAGATGCCATATTGGAAATACTACATGGTGAGGAATTAATCTTGTTTGCTTTCTTGAGAACATTGTGGGCGGCTTGACATGAGTGGCAGCACCTATGCTGTACATATTTTACTCTGTTTCTGTTTGTTAATATAATTATCCATGTAAAATATCCTGGGACTCCTTTGGAGTTCATCAGCAGGATAAAATCGCTGATTCTTCGTGAGATCAGCTTGCCTGAAATATTTTTTTCCCCCACCACTCTTCAATATGTAGCTGTCCGGGTGTGTGTTGGGCTTCTCCTAGGATGTGCTTCTTGAGTGTGCCTTGGATCGCTCCCCAGAGTCATCTGCAGACTGTACAGGCTTCTCAGCAGACAAATCAACATAGAGTTTACCCAGGATACTACTGTCCAATATAAAAGCATCCATTAACAATAGCAATCTTTCTCTACCACACCCCACTGCCACGTGTGTGTTTTAAAGCAGAGATGGGGAAATCTATAGCCCTCCAAAATTTGCTGGGCTGCAGTTCCCATCTTCCCCGACAGCTGGCCATGCTGGTTGGGGCTAATGGCTGTTGGAGCCCAGCGATATCTCAAAAGGGTCACAGGTCCCTTGTGTTGAAAGATGGGTCCGCATAGCCATATATATGCTCATGTAAGGGATGCGGGTGGCGCTGTGGGTCAAACCACAGAGCCTAGGACTTGCCGATCAGAAGGTCGGCAGTTTGAATCCCCACGACGGGATGAGCTCCCGTTGCTCGGTCCCTGCTCCTGCCAACCTAGCAGTTTGAAAGCACGTCAAAGTGCAAGTAGATAAATAGGTACCGCTCCGGCGGGAAGGTAAACGGCGTTTCTGTGCGCTGCTCCGGTTCGCCAGAAGCGGCTTAGTCATGCTGGCCACATGACCCGGAAGCTGTACACCGGCTCCCTCAGCCAATAAAGTGAGATGAATGCCGCAACCCGTGTCGGCCACGACTGGACCTAATGGTCAGGGGTCCCTTTACCTTTACTTTAAGGGTAGAAAGCACATTATTTTCATTGGAGTGAGATTGACTGGACCCAAAACTACTTGTCAGGGGGGGGGAACCTGTAGTAAAACAATCTAAAATAATACTAACATGCAGAGTTGTTCCTTGACATTTTCCATAAAGTTTGCTGGTGCTGATATGTGCGCAACTTGAGGTGTTTTATTCATTTATTTTTAAGAACTGTAGGCTGTGTTTCTCATGTGTATTTTTAGCTTTATCTAGATTCATGCATCCTGACATACTTCCTGATTCTGAGCAGTGAAGCGAGAACACTGAGTTCACACTTTTTGCTTCTCGGCCTGCGTTGCTCCTAAACGGTTTTCGTTGGATTTTCTTGATTGAGCATGCGACAAATGCAGTTTACCAATATTTTCAAAGAGACTTTTCAACGACAATGCTGAAGTGTAGCAGAGTGGGAAGAGAACAGCCTTTCTGCAGGGAGAAAGTTTTGTCGCTTCAAACGAAGGTTTGCTGGGTGTACATTCCCACACAGGAATTGTACTGCAAAGCAATGCAATGCGTCATTGACTGAGGCTGAGGGCTGGGTGTGGCTGGCTGTTATAGCCAGGGAGTCGACCAGAGGGAAGAAGTTTTCCCTCTGGTCCACTGTCTAAATCGTGCCCCAAAGCTCGCCTGCAATTGGCCACAACCACAGAGGAACCCCAGCAGCCAGCACAGCTGGCAGAGGAGGAGGTTCTGCCCTTCTCTGGACATGCTGAAGCCAGAATTTCCCCCCAACCACAGCTGCGCCAGGCTGCAACCATCACTCCCCACCAGCCAACAGATAAACAGCTATTCCCACATACAGTAGGAGTTGTACAACAGACTTTAAATGGTTCATAAGATTTCAGAGCATTGCTTGCAGGAGGATTTTATTTACAGCCGTTTATCTCTTTAAAATTCTTGCTAGATGTGCATTGGATTTTTAAAAGGGTGAAATTAAATATCCAGGAGCAACGCGTTAAAGCCATGTAAAGTGTATATAGTAAATGGAAAAGAGGTGCATATTTATTGCCACCAACTATTGTGTGGAAAGATTTTGTGTACTGCTCCATTCTTTGTTGTTTAATTGGGGGGTAACATGTGCACCAACAGCTTTTATTTTCCCTTTCCTCTGATTTTGGTCCTTTATGAGCATATAAATTTACGCATGTTTTGAGGGATGCTTTCCATCTTCATAACTAGATCACTTCCAGAAGACCTGCAAAAAGAACAGTCATCCTGTACTTGTACAAAATTTGTTTCATAGTTATACTATGTCCGCTATTTACTGAAGATTCGGTCTAGTTTTTTATTAATAGTTTCTTAATTGAATTTTTCAAAAAGAAACAAAAACAGTCAAACCGTACAAACTAAATAATTTGTGAGGAAGTTCTATGACACTGAACCAAACCATTGTTATTCCACACTTTGGGCTATATTTTCCCCTCACTTTCCTTACTGCAAAAAATTGTTGGGCAAATTTGCCATGCCCACTTGAATTATGCAACCTTAATTTTCTGGCGTGTGATTGAATCCCACTTGCACGATAGCAACAATCTTAACTTGATTAGACAGCAAATAATATTGTTGCTTAAAATATTGACTTATGAAAGTTTAAGACACATGGCTAGTTGTGGATCAGACATTGCTATGCAGAAATCTTCTTGACATACTTGTGTCAGTCTCTGAAGAATGAATCATTATAAATTAATTTATGGGAGTCACTTGCAAGAACACTCCTAGTAATGAAAATTGCACAAAGAAATTACTTCAATAATCTGAGTAAGAAATTTAACCCTATGAGGGGTTTTTACTGTGTCTTCTGTCTTCTGCAGTCGTTAACAGCTATCAGTAATTATGATGCATTTGTGCTCCACCTTCAGGAATGTCAAAGCCATTGAGCAATGTGTTGTTAAGTTTCACTTGAACAAGAATTGTGCTGTGCCCTCTTCTGGCATAGCCCATAAAATTGAATTTTGCAATATCTCTGAAATTTGTACTGTAATATCATGCATTTAAAAAATGTGACCTCATTGCACATTTGTTTGACATGTTGCAGAAAAAGTACCGAAAAGGATCAGTTGACATTTCCAAAATCAAGTGTGTGGAAATCGTGAAGAATGATGCTTTAGTTATTCCCTGTCAAAATAAATACCCATTTCAGGTAAGTTTCTAGGGTTGAAAATGCAGTCAACTCCATAAAAATACGGTATATCAGTGTCACAATAGCTTCATACATATCTATGGTGCAACCACAAATTTGAATACTGTGTACACCTTGCCTCAATAAAGATATGCAGAGCTGGAAAAGGTTCAGAAAAGGAAAACCAAATGATCAAGGAGATGGGACTACTCCCCTATAAGGAAAAACACAACATTTCCTGTTTGTGAGTTCAAGGGGGAAATGAGCAAGGAGAAGGTTGAGAGAAGTTTGGATCACTCATTGAAGTTGTGTATTGGAAGATTCAGGACAGACAAAAGGAAGTACTTCACACAACACTTTGTTTAACTATGGAATTGTCTCCCAGAAGATGTAGTGATGGCCACCAACTTGGATGAAACCACCTACCTGGGCAGATGAACGAGACAATCAGAAACAGTCCCTTCATCTTGACAGAATTGAGCGCTAGTTTACTAGCCCAGTCTGTTATGGATCCCAAGCACCAATTTTGCACTTATTGAGGAGATATGAGCTGTATAGTAGTCAATATAGCACAGCCAGTATTGCCACTCTTATTATAACTTTTCTCTTCTTCGTCCTTTCCAGGTTGTGTATGAAAACAGCACACTTTATATTTTTGCTCCCACTGCATACAGTAGAGATCAGTGGGTAAGGAACTTGAAAGAAGGTAACTGCAGCTGTTTATAACATTTGCATATGAGTGGAGAGAAGGAAAGAACCCTGATCGAAAAGGCTAACAAAGAACTTTCTCACATGTGCATTCTGTACATACTGATGCATCCCCAGCCACCATTATTTAAAAACAGAAAATTTGCGTCTAGTGATACATTTCTGGGTGGGAGGGAGGAGAAGTCAGTTGAAAACTATGCGGGGTAGAACAGTGTGAAGGGGATCATAACTACTTGTACAAGTCATGTCTTCATAAGAAATAATATTTCAACATCTTCAACATTTATTTTCCTCTTCTTGGGAACCCTAAGAATAGATCTAGATCAAATCCATCTTCCTTAAACACTTCCCTTCTGGTTAATGCTAATGTTGGAGCATGGTACATGCAGGAGATAACAAGCTGCTTAACCCTTCCTGCGTCTACCAGCAAATGCCTTCTTCAAGGGCAAACGTTTTCCCTGCAGTCGTCTTATGGTCTTCTTATGATCTTGAAGACTGTCCCAGCGAATTCTTTTTAAAACTGAAAGGTATTTGCAGGAGAGAATCAGTGGACAAGGGATTAAGCACCTCTACCCATTGATTTTTTTCCTCTTGTAGTTCCCCCAGCAGTCCTTGCCCCATGTTTATGTTACGAGGCCAAAATAGGACTCCCAGTGCTATGGTGCTGAGTAACATCTAATTCCATCCTAAGAATAGGCCTGTAAGGGCCTGTATGTGGGCCTGTAAAGAAGTAGGAATCTCTGATGGAGGACTCTCAGCGCCTGACTAAATTGTAATTCCCAGAATCTATTGGGAGAAACAGTGATAGTTAAATTGATGTAAACTCAGTATAAATTTGAAGTAGAGGTTGAGGCATAATTTAAGGTCTTTGACTGTGCAGAATCCCCACTTTATCTACTATGTTTTGGAATATGAGAGCAGCAAAGCCAAAAAAATAAATAGAAATGTATCCCAAAATAAGGAAGTACTCGGAGCAAAGCCAAAAACTTCATTTGACCATAGATGATTTGGTCGTTAATGATATGATAGATCATTTGACTTTTAATAATGTCTGAATAATGCCTGTTTGCATAGATATTTTATATTTCAGTGGTGTTTTTCATGTTCAGGTGTACTTAATCTCTGAAGAGTGGAGATGTGTCAATAAGGATGGTTCCCTTAGGCTAAAATATTAACAGTGCTGAAGCTAGGAGAACAGAACTACTAACAGAACATTGGCATTTTGGCCTGAAATGTTGGCATTTTACTTTTTTGTAGAAATAAAAAACAACAATAATATAATGGTTAAGTACCACCCTAAATTCTGGACAGATGGAATCTACCAGTGCTGCAGACAAACAGAAAAATTAGCGCCTGGATGTGAAAAATATAACCTCTTTGAAAACGGTAAGTGCTTGTATTCATTGTACCAGGGTAGCCAGACTTCAGGCTTGCACAATCTGCGCCCTCATATCCTGGAACCCTAAAGTACACCAACTGGAGCTAGGTTGCAAACTAGTGGCTCAGGTAGGTAGACATACACTAAGAATTAAGAGTCAAAAGCACATTTTCAGCCCAAGATTTTTTGATCCGTATCAGAACCAAGCTCACCAGGCCAAGCATTCTTCTCCAGCAATTTAATGTGGTAGTGGGGAAGCTTTTTAGTTGCTGCTGTTGTGTTGGACTCTAACCCCACCTGTGTGTATCTGAAGAAGTGTGCATGCACACGGAAGCTTATACCCAGAACAAACTTAGTTGATCTCTAAGGTGCTACTGGACAATTTTTAAATTTTTTTATTTATCCCATCTCTTCGGTTTCCCTCCCTGCAGCCTCCAGGATTGCTCCCCTTCCTCTCCTCTCAATTGTTTCTCTTTATGTTCAGCTGCTCTGGTTCCAATATGAACTTTTTAAAAATGAAAGAGGAAATGGGAAGTGTGTCCCCTTGACATACTTTTGGAGGCAGGTAGATTGTAATGATCCTTGCCAGCTTATAATGAAAGCCAAGAGCACCAACTCTATGAGGCTGAGGTGTATTCGCCCCATAGCATGTGGTGTAGTGGTTAAGAGTGGTGGACTCGTAATCTGGTGAACCGGGTTCGATTTCCTGCTCCTCCACATGCAGCTGCTGGGTGACCTTGGGCTAGTCACACTTCTCTGAAGTCTCTCAGCCTCACTCACCTCACAGAGTGTTTGTTGTGGGGGAGGAAGGGAAAAGGAGATTGTTAGCCGCTTTGAGACTCCTTAGGGTAGTGATAAAGCCGGATATCAAATCCAAACTCCTCCTCCTCTATCTCTTCCTCTTCCTCTTCCTCTTCTTCTACTACTACTACTTCTTCCCTCATATCTGTTGAGGGGACAGAAGAGGCTGAGCGCAGAGCCAAGAGCAGAACGGCTTCAGTGGCTGGCTTCTCCTGAACACGAGAGAGGAGGAGCCGCCGCCGGCCACCACTGAAACTGCACTTCACTGGGCTCTGGGCTCAGCCTCCTCCTGATGATGCGTGTGCAATGCGTGTGCATAATGTCACATGCATGCAACTCGCGCCGGGTCCATGGCAATGCACACGGTACCTCTGATGAAAGCAGTTGTGAGCCCGAAGGTTCGTAGACTTTGTGGCCATGCATAAGGATGCAGCTTTGGCAACCCTTGTGTTTAATAATTGACAGTCTTGTGCAAATCACCCAGAGATATGTCAGCAGCAGATCCCAATCTACCTTAAGGTCATCCCTGTTGTGTACTATTTATGGACCTACGTAGACTCATACTATAACCAGGGTGATTGCTGCCACCTCCATGAAGGTTCCTTTTCCTGTTTAAATGCTTCTGCCTGTGGTGGTTATTATTATTATTAATTGAATTTATATACCATCCTATACCCAGGGGTCTCAGGGACCTTGGGGTCCATTTCAGCTCTACGATTCTACAATTCTTCTGGCAGCATGGTCAGCACACCACGCCATACAGTGTCACCATACATATTTTCAGATTCTGCTTTGAACCACAATGATGGTTAATGTTGATGCCAAATTAACTTAATGGGTTAGACCCAGTGTGGAAAATTTGCACATCAGAAGGGGGGGGGGGGAGAATGCGTGAAATCCTTTGGCCCACTTCCATCTGTGCTGGTTAATCCATAACCATTTCTAATGGTTAATCAATCAGCAACATGATATGATTAGGGGAAGTGCAACCATTCTGATCTTTCAAAAATCTTGATGTTACATACTTAAGCCTTTAACAGATACCTCTAAATTCAGACTGTGATTTCTATGGTTTTCTTTAGGTATGAAGACTTTGCCTCCATCAATGCCGGATAAAAGTAAGGTAAGGAGAGAATTCAGAGCACTAAGCAGCTATAGCTGATGGGAGTTAATGGCTGCTAGTCTGATGGCCGTATTACCAGCAGTATCAGAGGTGGTTTATCTCTGAGTTGCTGTGGATCACAAGTAAAAAAGTGTTGTTGTGCTCAGGTACTGCTTGAGCTTCCTGTTGGCATCTGGCTGTTCACTGTAAGATTTTATGGGTCTTTGGTCTGATTCAGCAGGGGTTGTCTTATGCTTTTAACTTACATTCAGTTCTGTACTATTATAATTGGAACTATATATTTCAGGTTGTAATACAACCTGAAATATAGGTAATCCAAATCCAATGGGGGTCTGAATAAAAGCTCCAACTCCACGGCCTAGGACCCTCGTACCTACGGGACCGCCTCTCCCGGTATGCCCCACAGAGGACCTTAAGGTCCATAAACAGCCGCACCCTAGAGGTCCCGGGCCCTAAGGAAGTTAGATTAGCCTCAAGCAGAGCCAGGGCCTTTTCAACACTGGCTCCGGCCTGGTGGAACGCTCTGCCTCATGAGACCAGGGCCCTGCAGGATCTGATTTCTTTCCGCAGGGCCTGTAAGACAGAGTTGTTCTGCCTGGCTTTTGGCTTGGAGTCAATTTGATTCCCTCCCCCTCTTTCTCTTTCTTTTTCCTTTCTCCTCCTGTTGATGAGGTTGCTTTTTAATGTTGTATTTTAATCTTGTTTTTAAGTTGTATTCATTCAACTTATTTTTATTATTGCTTGTTAACCGCCCTGAGCCCGGCCTTGGCTGGGGAGGGCGGAGTATAAATAATTTATTATTATTATTATTATTATTGGACTCAGCAAACACACGTTTGGAAACATGTATCTGCTGAGGCAACATATCATTATACCCCGACTGTCATGTGCTGTACCATATGCTATGGTTAATTATTCTACTGAGATCAGTATTTGTATTTCCATACAAATGCTAGTATTCACAGGCATATGCTTATGCTAGATCTGTGCAAACAGGTTTCTGTCTCTTCTGTCAAAACCCCCAAGCCAATTCTTAGCAACCAAACACCCACACCCTGCAGCTTGCCTCCCCCCCAACCCCCCCCCCTACATCCTACCTGTTCTAAACTTGCTAACCTAAGCCCAGGTCTTTTGTAACACAGTTGTGCTAACCTCCTGTTGTCTTAATGGCTCGTTCCCCCCATGAGGTTTCCTCCCAAGGAAATTGTTTGTGACTTAATTAACAATTAACTCAGGTTAATTATCTAGGATTAAGAGGTGTCTCCATTTAAGATGTCTGCCTGGCTTAATTAGTTTTTACTTATGCTAATTCCAAGGACTTTGAAGTTGGTCTCACACAAGACCCAATGATATGTCTTAAGTCAGAAGGATCTGACATCCTGTTTTAACATACCAGTTCCCATTAAAGTCTGACATTTATTAAACCCAGGCATTTAGCCCTCCCCCCAGACCTATAACAATAACCTTAATTAAATATAACGATTAGAATCTGTAAGTGAAAATGGTTCTAATACCTTGTTTCAATTTCAGAGAAGGCCCCCACCCCCTGTTCCCCAGGAAGAAGAGGAGGAAGAGGAAGAAATAGTAGTAGCCATGTATGACTTTCAGCCCACGGAACCTCATGACTTGAGACTGGAAAGAGGTCAAGAATATACCATCCTTGAAAAAAATGACATTCACTGGTGGAAAGCAAGAGATAAATACGGGTAAGGAATCTTAAAAAGCAGAGACATCACCTTGCCAACAAAGGTCCGTATAGTTAAAGCTATGGTTTTCCCAGTAGTGATGTATGGAAGTGAGAGCTGGACCATAAAAAAGGCTGATCACCGAAGAATTGATGCTTTTGATGAATTATGGTGCTGGAGGAGACTCTTGAGAGTCCCATGGACTGCAAGAAGATCAAACCTATCCATTCTTAAGGAAATCAGCCCTGGGTGCTCACTGGAAGGACAGATCCTGAAGCAGAGGCTCCAATACTTTGGCCACCTCATGAGAAGAGAAGACTCCCTGGAAAAGACCCTGATGTTGGGAAAGATGGAGGGCACAAGGAGAAGGGGACGACAGAGGACGAGATGGTTGGACAGTGTTCTCGACGTTACCAGCATGAGTTTGACCAAACTGCTGGAGGCAGTGGAAGACAGGAGTGCCTGACATGCTCTGGTCCATGGGGTCATGAAGAGTCAGACATGACTAAACAACAGCAAAGGAATGTGACCATTATTTCAGCTTTTTAATACTGCCAGAAATGGATGGTACAATGATTCCAATAGATGTAACTGCATTATGATGGCCATTACTAACATTTTAATTGTTGGTGAATGGGTGTCCAACCTTTTTTTCGCTCAAGAGCCAGCACATGCTATAAAGAATATATTTTAAAAGATGCTGGGAATAAGAGTTCGCATTAATTTCTTGATTTATAATGAGAAAAATGTTAGTAGCACTAATACGTATGTAGAAAGCAACCATATATATATATATATATATATAGTTCTTTATTATCCTGTGCATTGCTTTGAATACCCTGTGTGGGCTAGATAGATGACTGTGGAATTTATAAATAAATGCAAGTTTATTACTCTGACATGGTTATAATATGTGTTTTCTAAGCATGGGTTTCTTTTGGTCACTTCTAGAAGCAAAGGATATATTCCAAGCAACTATGTAACAGGAAAGAAGTCCAACAGTCTAGATCAATATGAGTAAGTAAATACTTAAATGTAGTACCTGGGAGAAAATCCTTCTGTATGTATTTTGGCAACTGCATAAAAATAATTGGCTGAATCAAGTGAGCTCTGACACCCACTTCTACGGTATTCTTCTTTCACCAGCTTGAGAGTAAGCTAACATTTAAAAAAACACTCCTGACCGGTTCCAAAACTTCATAAAAGCTGTTGTTCTGTAAAACATCTACTGATACCTACCCTCTTTATTCACAGAAAATCAACATTGCAGAGTAGCTAAGGGCCACTTCACATTTTACATTAAGAAAAAATGATATATGCATATATGAGTACACATCACAAGGAAATGAAGCTACCGTATTTTTCGCCTATAGGACGCACCGGCCCATAGGGCGCACCTAGTTTTTTTTTGGGGGGGGGAATAAAGGGGGGGGAATTATCCCCCCCCCAGCCACAGGAACTCCCGCAGGGCTCCCTAGGCTGCAGATATCTGGCCGAAGCGCGGGGCGCTCTGCTTCAGTGCGCTCCGGGCAAGAAGACTGCTATCCGCAGCCTAGGGAGCCCTGCGGGAACTCCCGCGGGCTCCCCAGGCTTACGGATAGCTTCCCGAAGCGCGGGACGCTCTGCTTCAGTGCGCCCTGCGCTCCGGGCAGCAGGCTGCTATCCGCAGCCTAGGGAGCCCTGCGGGAACTCCCGCGGGCTCCCCAGGCTTACGGATAGCTTCCCGAAGCGCGGGACGCTCTGCTTCAGTGCGCCCTGCGCTCCGGGCAGCAGGCTGCTATCCGCAGCCTAGGGAACCCTGTGGGAACTCCCGCGGGCTCCCCAGGCTTACGGATAGCTTCCCGAAGCGCGGGGCGCTCTGCTTCAGCGCGCTCCAGGCAAGCAGGCTGCTATCCACAGCCTAGGGAGCCCTACGGAAACTCCCGCGGGCTCCCCAGGCTTACAGATAGCTTCCTGAAGCCTGGAGAAAGAGAGGGGTCGGTGCGCACTGACCCCTCTCGCTCTCCAAGCTTCAGCAAAAGCCTGCATTCGCCCCATAGGACGCACACATGTTTCCCCTTCATTTTTGGAGGGGGAAAAAGTGCGTCATATAGGGCGAAAAATATGGTAATTCAGAACTCCTTGTGACTTGTTACAGACATACCACCACTATTTTATTTACCATGATTAAGATATTAAAAGCAGTTTGTGGTTTTGAGCTCCCCCTTCACACCTCTTCAGCACAAACATTCCCACACGTTTTCCTTGTCTGTCTTAATCATGTTCCTTTATTAACTGAGAGAGAATCTGGTTAGCATTAACGTTTTCTAACAATGCAGATATTTAACACTAAACCATGGTAAACAGAAATGTGGTGTGTGTATTTCTGTATGCATTTATAGGGAATAAACACAGAAGAGAGAATAATGGCATGGGCGAAGGAGCTCATAACCTATTCCCAAATTCTTAAGCATGGTTAAGGGATCAGCAGGATGTCTGAACTGGATCTGTTCCATGTCACATCCAAAGTCAGCAGCCTAACATATTACAGCTTTTGATTTTTTCCCCTTTCTCTTTAGATGGTACTGTCGAAATCTAAACAGAAGCAAAGCTGAACAACTCCTAAGAAATGAAGTGAGCATTTTCTTTATAATGTTTCTAAGTACAACATAAAAACTTAAACTAACTTTATTTCATATGCTTGAATGAATCATAAATCATTCAAATAGGAAAAGCTTGTTGAATGAAGTTTTCATTTTTTTTATTGGATTTTAGGATAAAGAAGGTGGTTTCATGGTGAGGGACTCTAGCCAACCAGGTTTATATACAGTATCACTTTATGCAAAATTTGGAGGGTAAGTTGCTCAATCCATAAATTATACCCTCCCTTGACAATTTCTTGCTTCTATGTATGTAAACATCTGGCTTCCTCTTTTAAGACAAATCACACATATTTTATCATCAAACCTTTTCTGTAGAAGTAAGCTGAAACGTGTGCCTCCACTCAATTATCCAAACAGGTCATTGCATCAAATGATGTCCTAGGATTGGTTTTATTATTCTAGCTAGTTGGAACTGGCCTCTTCTTTGGCAAAGGAAGTTAGAATAATTAAGAAGGTGGGAACAGTCTCTAAATTAATTTCTAATGGGCTATATGACCACCCACATTAAAGTCAGAGCTTCTCTCGACTTCAGTCCAAAGTCTCATCCACATCTGTAAAGGCTGGCGTTTGCTGATCTCAGATTCCCATGAAACTGTGAGGCAGCCCCTCAGCCCCTCGCCTCCATTTTCCTGAGGAACTCTCCTTCTTCACTTAAGCCTCAGAATGGATCCTGTGCATTGCCTTTGCACATACCAAGGATACACTTTGTGTAAGTTGCTGAAACTATCATCAGAAATACATATGTAGCTGTAAAGTTGACCAGAAATGTATTTGTTTATTTTCTCTAATGTTGCTTCTTAGACTTCCTTCTCGAAAATGCTGGTATTACAAGCCTGGGGTAGGCTAAATAACTTTACTAGCTTGTAGGGTTGGTCTCACACACGTGTGAGTGCTTGTGTTTAAGCTGCCTGCCTACTTCTACTGTAGCTGCATGCCCTAGGTTTTCACAATCGTTGTGAACAAAAGAGGCAAAGACTGTAATTGTTCTTTAGCAGCTCACTTCAGTTAACAGTTTCAGGGCAAAGTTTGTCCTTCAGTTACTCTACTGATTGAAAAACACTTGTAAATGTTTTAGTAAAATACTTTATTAGCAAGATACGTAACATAATTATGTCTAGTGTAAATGAAAAACCAAATTATTATTATTGTTATTTTTAGAGAAGGGTTATCTGGAATAAGACACTACCATATTAAAGAAACGATGACATCACAAAAGCAGTACTACCTAGCTGAAAAACATTTATTTGACTCCATTCCTGAGCTAATTGAGTATCATAAACACAACGCTGCAGGTAAATGAGTCCAAGTTTCTTATCATTTGATTGAATGCTGCTTAACAATCTAGTTGCATAACTTTGGGAGACAAGTACATCTTCCTAGCTAGAGAGCCTGTCGCCCACTGCATAGGTCTGCACTTTCAAGCTCTGTGTCTGAGCACCCCTGCCACTTTCTGTAGGAAAACCTACTCTTTAATGTTAAATCGGAACAAATGGCAATTCGGGTTTTCCACGGATTGTTGTTTGCTCCAATTCAGCAGCAAAGAGTGGGAAAGTGCTGGGGCAAAAGAAGAAGAAAAAAGTGCTGTGACTTACAGTGTGGATGTGTGCCTAGAAATGCGATCCGAAAGGAAGTCCAGATGAACCCTGCGTATCCAGTGGGGTTTTTGGATTTGTTTTACGGTAATATTCCACGCTATATCACACCTTGCCCCTAAAACTCCCTTCAGTTTCAAAAAAGAATTTGCAGTTCAGCACTTGGGTAGTCTGCTGCTCGAGAAACAAGTTAGATGTACACGTTTAGTTTTTAAATAATAACTGGGGTGTTTTCCCTGGATACTATACCTTTGGTATTTGCGCAAGAAAGTAAACTATTATTCTGTACCCCTCTTGTGCTCCCCCTTTTATTTGACTTATTTTAACCTTCGTGGTTCCAAATTATCCTTGTAATGTATGCTATACCCTTGAACATTTTTAACTGCAGGCTGCTCCTAATTTTTTAAGCTTCTGAGAACACTTATTTTATTTTATCTTAACATATTGGACAGCAAAGTGAATGATTATTAATTAACAAAAATGTGGCAACCCAATATCATGGTAAGCACTAATAATAGCAGGACAACATTACTACCCTTCCTAATTCCTGATGTAGTCTCCATATGGATTTTCCCCAAACTTTCAGGTCTTGTTACAAGATTACGATACCCAGTGACTCCAAAGGTGAAGCCCTCCCCAACCACGGCAGGATTCAGTTATGGTACGTTTACACACCTACATAACAAAATATTTATTTTGAAAGTGTGGGGATTCTGTAAATCAACAAAGAGGCAATTTTGTTTGAAATTATCTTTTTATGTTCTTGGTAACGAATAGTTCAGCATCTGCTGTGCTGAAAAGCCTTCTCAACTCTGTAAGCCTTCGGTTGATGAAATTAGACATGACAGTCATGTGATGGCCCTTACATGCTTGCTTTTAATTGACTAAATAATAGCCGTGGAATGGGGCAATCTGGATGAGGACCACTGCATGAAGGGTGGGGTTTTTTTTAACTCTTTGCCCCTGCCACAGTCCTGATTTAGATCCTCACCTCCATGGTTGCTATTTGCCCCAGGGAAGTTGGCATTGGCACTTGTAATGTTAGCCCAGAGCAACTAGCAGCCACAGGAACAAAGAGTTAAAAGAGCCCCCTCCCTACACCTCTTGGAAAAGAGCCTTCTAATAAAAGCAGAGACATCACCTTGCCGACAAAGGTCCGTATAGTTAAAGCTATGGTTTTCCCAGTAGTGGTGTATGGAAGCGAGAGCTGGACCATAAAGAAGGCTGATCGCCGAAGAATTGATGCTTTTGAATTATGGTGCTGGAGGAGACTCTTGAGAGTCCCATGGACTGCAAGATCAAACCTATCCATTCACTGGAAGGACAGATCGTGAAGCTGAGGCTCCAATACTTTGGCCACCTCATGAGAAGAAAAGACTCCCTGGAAAAGACCCTGATGTTGGGAAAGATTGAGATAGGAGAAGGGGATGACAGAGGACGAGATGGTTGGACAGTGTTCTCGAAGCTACCAGCATGAGTTTGACCAAACTGTGGGAGGCAGTGGAAGACAGGAGTGCCTGGCGGGCTCTGGTCCATGGAGTCACGAAGAGTCGGACACGGCTAAACAACAAACAACAACAAAGAAGAAAACAGACACACAAGGACCAATCCTGTGATTGGGGTTGTGTCTCATTTAGGCCTTAAAATAGCCTTTTCCAGGACAATATAGTAGGATCTACTCTTCCCCTACTCTATGATTATTATGATAGGTTAGGTCCAACAGTAATTCATATGAAATATAATAGAGTGTAACTAGACTAAGGGGGAAAGGGGAAAAAGCATAGTCTTAACACATTAGGGGTTGAAGCTTTCTTGAGAAGTGAGACAAGTGGCCCAGAGAAGTACCAGATCACAGTGCTTATATTTTAGTAAACAAAGGCTGGGTTAGCTTCTGTTGAGTGTGAGAAGCATGAGAGATGTTGCTTCAGAAGGGGCAAATGGATTACAGTACACAATCTACATTTGTTGGTTTGGGCCTATCCACACCTTCCTTTTGTTGCGCTCCGGGTTTTCTCTTGGTTGACGTTTGCTCTGATTTAGAACTGAATAGTGGGTTTTCCATGGGAAAAGGAGCAGGGACAAGAGGGGATACCACTTGGACCCCTGCCTAGAAAGCATCAGTCAAGCAGAAAACTGCTTGGAAGAGCCCTCAATAAAATGTCTCCTGTGAAAATTTGTCTGTATCAGAAAGTTGGGAGCTTAGGTATAAAAAGTTTTAGATTTTTAAAAAGAAAACAAAACTACAAGAACCTGTTGAGTGGAGAGGATTCCTGAAGATCCAGTTGTTGTGGAGTCATCTACTTTGAGAAAGATGTCCCAACTCTCCATTTTTTAAGGAAGGCTTTGAGAATGAGAAGTGGGGGTCCTGCAGCGAGTGCCAAAGTTCTCTGAATGTGGAAAAGGATGGATAATGGTATTGGCTGGGTCTCTTTCAGAAAAAGAAAAAGGGAACCCTGGGGGGCATAAGCATTGTCTTCCTCTGAACACCTTCGTTTTATTTTCCTCCCTTGTAGAGAAATGGGAGATCAATCCTGCCGAGCTCACCTTCATGAGAGAGTTGGGCAGCGGCCTTTTTGGCGTGGTGCGCCTTGGCAAATGGAGAGCGCAATATAAAGTGGCCATCAAAGCAATCCGAGAAGGTGCAATGTATGAAGAGGACTTCATAGAAGAAGCTAAAGTGATGATGTAAGTAACTTGTAAGTAACTTGTAAGTAACTTGTAGGCTTTGCTTTTAAAACCCTAAAGAGCCTGGTCCTTATGTATCTTCTCCCTAGGGTATTTGCATGCAGCTTTCTTTATTTAAAGGGACGTGGGTGGCGCTGTGGGTTAAACCACAGAGCCTAGGACTTGCCGATCAGAAGGTCGGTGGTTCAAATCCCCGCAACGGAGTGAGCTCCCGTTGCTCGGTCCCAGTTCCTGCCAACCTAGCAGTTCGAAAGCACGTCAAAGTGCAAGTAGATAAATAGGTACCGCTCCAGCGGGAAGGTAAACGGCGTTTCCGTGCACTGCTCTGGTTCGTCAGAAGCGGCTTAGTCATGCTGGCCACATGACCCGGAAGCTGTACGCCAGCTCCCTCGGCCAATAAAGTGAGATGAGTGTCGCAACCCCAGAGTCGGCCACGACTGGACCTAATTGTCAGGGGTCCCTTTACCTTTACCTTATTTATTTAAAGTACAGTGGTACCTCGGGGTACATACGCTTCAGGTTACAGTCTCCGCTAACCCAGAAATAGTGCTTCAGGCTAAGAACTTTGCTTCAGGATAAGAACAGAAATCGTGCTCCAGCGGTGCAGCAGCAGCAGGAGGCCCCATTAGCTAAAGTGGTGCTTCAGGTTAAGAACAGTTTCAGGTTAAGAACGGACCTCTGGAACGAATTAAGTACTTAACCCGAGGTACCACTGTATTTTTATTCCACCCTTTGGCTGAAAAAGCTCTCAGAGTATATTTGGTATTTTGTTGGAGGTGATGCCAGGGAACAGGGAATTATGTTCACATGTGGTGGGGGTTTAAATATGTACAATTTTTCTGGCAAAGGGTCTTTGAGATAACAGAAATCACTGGTCTTAGTTGGTCTTTAAGGTGCTACTGGAAGGAATTTTTTTTGTTTTGTTTTGTTTTGACTATGGCAGACCAACACGGCTACCTATCTGTAACAGAAATCACTGGGTTAGAGCTGACGGAAAGTCCAGAGGTAGCATTATCAATTTATGATGGAGTGGAAGGTTCGCAGGCTATGAAGGACTTGTTCACAAAATTATTGACAGTTGCACGCATTATTATAGCTGGGAAGAGGAAGGGGCAGGCAGAATATAATATAGAAGAATGGTTTAAAGAGGTGTGGGGTGTAGCTATTAATGATAAATTAACTTGTGCCATTAAGGTAAGATGGGGACTAAGCAGGAGAAATGATTCTGAGGAGATATGGAGGGTGTTTGTAGAATTTGTACTGTTAAAACGGAAAGGGGTCAAACCATCGCAAGAGGTGTTGAAATATTGGAAGCTTGGATAGTTACAATAGAATGGTCTCAGTGGTGGGGTGCACATTTTTATTCTTATTTATTTATGATTATTACTTTGTCAAAATAAATAAAATAATTGAAAAATAATTGAAAAAAGAAAAGACTCTCATAGTGTCCCACAAATATCAGGAGTCAAACCCTCAGCTCAGTCTTTTAGACATGATGTGCACGAAAAAGCGAATGGAGGGAGTAGGAAAAAACGTAACTCAGACACAATTCTTAAAAGTCATAGTGATAAGTCTTATAAACGACCCGCTGGGATAGAAATAAGTTTGGGCAGCTTTAGGGAATGGCCAAAGACAGCTGGTCGCTCAGCAGAGGCAATTAAATATATGGATTTTAATTCCTTTCAGGAAGTTGACGCATCCAAAATTAGTCCAGCTGTATGGTGTCTGCACCCAGCAGAGACCTATTTACATAGTGACAGAGTTCATGGAGCATGGCTGCCTTCTGAATTACCTTCGGCAAAGACGTGGACACTTTACGAAAGACCATCTGTTGACAATGTGCCAGGATGTTTGTGAAGGGATGGAGTACCTGGAGAGAAACAGCTTTATTCACAGAGATCTGGTAAATAATATACTGAAGAGTCTTTATATTTTGCTTTGTGTAGAAAACGTAATTATTAAAGAAACGGTGTTCAAAATGCCAGTTTTTGGTGGTTTATAAATATTGTCTTACTCAGTTGGGGTGACCAAAGGGAAAGGAAAGCAACATTCTTATCCCTTAACATATGCCAGAGGTTTTCAACCTTTTTGAGTCCATGGCTCCCTTAACCAACTACATTCTTTCTTCAGCACCCCTGTGGGGCTCAGGAGCCCAGTTATATCACCCCTTGCCTGCAGAGCTGGCAACCCCTCACCCCTTTTTTGAACACTTTCCCTTGTGGAGTGTTCCCTCAGCCTCCTCTCCTCTCCCCTCTCCTTGGGAGTCCTCCGGGCAGCTGCTGTTGCCCTCCCTGGTCTCTGAGCTGGCCCCCCTCGCCCTAAAGAGAGGTCCCTCCCAGAGGCACAATTCGTCTGCAGAGCTTATAACCAGGACTGCTGCAATAAACAAGTGCGCAAGCCTTGGGGAGGCAGAGACACAAGAGGGCATCAGAAGACGGAGGGAAAGAAAGAAAGAAAGAAAGAAAGAAAGAAAGAAAGAAAGAAAGAAAGAAAGAAAGAAAGGCCAGTCATCATTCAAGGCACCCCAGGGTGCTATAGCACACTGGTTAGAAACTACTGGCATATGCTTTACCCTGCATGATGAGTTGCACTTGCCAAAATTCTCACTTTGGCATCTCTGCTAGTATCCTGGTTTTCTTTGCATTTGGTTACCCCATGCCTGCATAGGCTACAGGATACAGCCGCTAATGATTTAAAGGTCCCTGGTAGATCTGATATTGTTAGTCTTCATCATTAAGTATTGCTTTCTGTTGGAATAGTAGCCAAACTCCTGCTCAGGAGTCGTGCATGGCATTTATTTGAGATCTTTGGACATGGGCCAGGATACAAATGTAACTAATAAATATGTTATTTTGACTCTCAGATCATTAGGGAACAGTTAGCTTTTTCTTTTTCTTACGCTTTCATGTGGAAACTTCAAGAGATTTTCAGACTGGGGACTAATTTCAGACAGGTGTATCCCCATGTGAGAATGGGGCACCAAAGCTACCTATTATTTTTAGCCACCCCAAATATGAGTATGTGATGTTCAAGTTGGCTTAAGTATTTTATGAAAGCCACTTCAGTCCTAGCTGAACTTGGGATCTGGCCAACGAGAGCTTATTATGCAATAAATTTGTTAGGGTCTACAATCCCTTTTTGTAATCTTTGCTATAGCTCCTGTCCCTTGAAAATACGCCTGCCTCTCATTCTGCTGCCCTCAATGGCATCCAAAATATGCCTCCACCTGAGGCAGCCACTTGAGGTGTGCTACATGCGGGTGGCACTGTGTGGTCTAAACCACTGAGCCTAGGGCTTGCCGATTGGAAGGTTGGCGGTTCGAATCCCTGTGACGGGGTGAGCTCCCGTTGTTCCGTCACAGCTCCTGCCCACCTAGCAGTTTGAAAGCATGTCAAAGTGCAAGTAGATAAATAGGTACCGCTCCGGCAGGAAGGTAAACGGCGTTTCTGTGCGCTGCTCTGGCTCACCAGAAGCGGCTTAGTCATGCTGGCCACATGACCCAGAAGCTGTCTGTGGACAAACACCAGCTCCCTCAGCCTATAGAGCGAGATGAGCGCACAACCCCAGAGTCGTCCGCAACTGGACCTAATGGTCAGGAGTCCTTTACCTTCAGGGTTGCCTCTGCACAGTTGCAGTTTTCAAAATTTAAGTTTAGCACATTCTTATCCGGCTGTATCGTCACTGTAAATAATAACATGCCTGTGTTTTCCCCCAGGCTGCTAGAAACTGCTTAGTGAACGAATCAGGGGTGGTGAAAGTGTCTGACTTCGGAATGACAAGGTACTGGCCCCTTGAATTTAAGTGGAACTGGTGCATTTTGCATTGGCAAGTGTGAAAATTACAAGGGGACTGGAATTTGTACCTAGACTGAGCCTGCATAAGCCAAATGCAGCTTTGAAAGGGACTTCTGAAGACTCCCGGGGGCAGGGAAATCAGATGATGTCATTGTGATTGGTGGATTCAGAAGTCTTTCCACTCATAGATGGAGGCTTGCAGAAACTGCAAAAAACACACACACACACACACACAAAAAAACACACCAAAGAGTTGCGGTTGTCAAATTCCTGACAGCTCCTGATACATGTGACCAATAAATACGAGTACAAGTACAGATTACAAGTTGTTGGAGGTTTAAATTTTAGTTCCATAGTTAATACTTTCAAATGATGTTTGTGAAGTTTACAAGTAGCCACTAGATGGAGGTGTGGCTCTTGGAGGAGGTACCTCTTGATAGGCTTCTAGGGCTGGTTTCAGACTGGAGGAATCATAAAGTGTTTTCCTTTTTTAGATATGTGCTTGATGACCAGTACACAAGCTCTTCAGGTGCTAAGTTTCCTGTGAAGTGGTGCCCCCCAGAGGTTTTCAATTATAGCAGGTTCAGCAGCAAGTCAGATGTCTGGTCTTTTGGTAAGCTGGCTATGTTTTTATTCTATTTTAAATGTGGAGATATTATTACTATTGGCTACAAACTGCCCACATAATTTGTATTTACTATTTAGAACTGGGGTGGAGAACGCTTAGGCTAGTGGGCCAGATTGTTATCTCACCTACCGCTTGTGGACCAGGTTTGACAGGTGGGCAGAACCGGCCATTTGTCAATCACCTGACCTTTTTTTACCTTCAAGGGTCTCAGCCCCTTTCAAAGCACTCTTTGAGAGGGGTTTCTGAAGATCTGATAAGCTGAAGCATCATGTGATAGTCATGGTTGTATGAATAGGCTGTCAAACCTTCTCTGAGATGTTACACATAATTCATCTCTTCAACTAATTTTTCTCCATATGGCTTATTCTCATTCTTACTGTTCCAGTGTCAATTCTAAATTATCTTAGAAGACTTTGGACCAGCAGGCATAAAAGACAATAAGTACCTTACTGGGAATTATTTCCTATTAACATATTTGCCACTACAGATACATGCATGTTCTAGTTTAGATAACATCTCTCTGGTAATCAGCCAACAGTCTTTTTGTGTCTCTTAATTTTTCAGGTGTTCTCATGTGGGAAGTATTTACTGAAGGCAAAATGCCCTTTGAGACAAACACGAACTATGAAGTAGTGACTATGGTTAGCCAAGGACACCGTCTATTTCGGCCAAAGTTAGCATCTAAGAATATTTATGATGTGATGTTGCTGTGCTGGCATGAGGTACAGTACCTTATATTTTAGTTGTACATTTCCATGTGATCCCTGATATACAATATTTGTTGTTTAGTCGTTTAGTCGTGTCCGACTCTTCATGACCCCATGGACCAGAGCACACCAGGCACTCCTGTCTTCCACTGCCTCCCGCAGTTTGGTCAAACTCCTGCTGGTAGCTTCGAGAACACTGTCCAACCATCTCATCCTCTGTCGTCCCCTTCTTTCCCAACATCAGGGTCTTTTCCAGGGAGTCTTCTCTTCTCATGAGGTGGCCAAAGTATTGGAGCCTCAGCTTCACGATCTGTCCTTCCAGTGAGCACTCAGGGCTGATTTCCTTCAGAATGGAGAGGTTTGATCTTCTTGCAGTCCATGGGACTCTCAAGAGTCTCCTCCAGCACCATAATTCAAAAGCATCAATTCTTCGGCGATCAGCCTTCTTTATGGTCCAGCTCTCACTTCCATACATCACTACTGGGAAAACCATAGCTTTAACTATACGGACCTTTGTTGGCAAGGTGATGTCTCTGCTTTTAAGATGCTGTCTAGGATATACAATATAGGAATGCTTTATACTTAACTATGAAGACAGAGAACAATCAAGGCTAAAGAACAGAGCAAAAGAAGAAGGCAGTATAGCGCAGTCGGTAAAAGCATGAGACTCTTAATCTCAGGCTCGTGGGTTTGAGCCCCACATTGGGTAAAAAAATTGCTGGGGTTGGACTAGATGACCCTCGGGATCCCTTCCAACTCCAAAATCCTGATTCTATATCATTTAAAAGGAGAAATCTAGTACAGACCCAGGGTTTCTGTACACTGGAGCAAACTGGATTTGCACCGACTTGTCTCCCCATTAATGTAGGGGCATCCTGTGGTTTTCCCAGACCTTCCCCTCTTTAAATGCTATTTCCACCCCAATCATTGGAAAGTCCAAAGGGGCCAGAATCAAAGAACCCTGCATTTACAGGGGGAAAGGTAAAACAGTGAAACAGGGAGGGCATCATGCTCCAGTGTGGACAAGCCGTTTGAGTGGAATTTGCATGGTTCCTGAACTGTAAGAATGAGCAATCCCTACTTGATGGAATCACTTTGGAGGCACAGGTGAGAGAGGTGCCATCAAAAAATAGAAAGGGAGAAGTAATTAGAGAACCCGTGACACCAAGAAGTGACTGGCCTTCTTATAGGACATTGCACCTTCATTTTTCTAATTAAGTAGAATTGCTTACATCAGATACATGTAAAAGATTACCCTCTAACAAAATAAAGCCTTTATCGTTGTTAGCATATTCATCCTGATACTTCTAAAGTCTGGGCTCAGTTGGAGGATGGACTATATGATTTAGTAATAGCAGTGAAGAATGAGAAATTATTTGCTTCTGTTCTAAAAAATAAATAAAAATCCCCATACTTTTTACCCATTTATTTGCCCTCTGTAACTCGGGTTGGGCTGAAGGTCTCTAATGTTATTTTGAAAATATTTATTTTATTCATTTGCATTTGTCCCCCCCCCCCCAATTATCTGTGATTCATCTGAGCAGGAGCAATCCTCTCTACTACTGAATTATTAGCTTTTACCTGCTTTTTTGTTGTTGTGTTAATAAAGATATTGTTTTAATCAGAGTTAAAGAATTGGCAGCTCACAATAATACTATCTATTAATTTCTAGAAACCGGAGGGACGCCCTACATTTCAGGATTTGCTGCAGATGATTGATACCATAGCAGAGGATGCTTCCTGAAAAGGCATGAGAGGAACAAAGTTGTTCACAGTAGAGACCGCATTCTGAAAAGCCATGCTCCTGGGTGTTGCTTCAAAGGGCCACACACACAGAGAGGACAACAATGCAGAGTTTCCTTCTCCTTAAAAGGAAGTGTTTTGCCAAGATAGCCATAGTTTGCTCAGCCATTTAAACAGTCTGTGAAGTAGACACTGATGAGGGTTGATGAGGTGGAAAACATGGTTCTTGGCTGGGGGGAAGAAACAGGACGGAACCACACTTTGAGCCCTAAATTGCAGAGCAGTAACTGGATTTTATAAGTCTCTTCCCACTTCTATCAACCAAATGTTGAGGAGTGGCAAGGACTAGATTCTTCAGCAGCAATGTTTCCAAGGCTTTCCTGAAAATGCAGTGTAACATTGGCTCACCAAAGCTATAAATATTGCCGTTCGCTCATGATCTTGCAGTGCTCTTTTGTTTTGCTTCCTTTAATGGCACTGCAGCACCTCTCAGCTGTTCCACCTCAAATGAAGGACCGTGTTCTTTTAATCTTCTCACCTGGACTTTTTCTACAGAATAACTGTAGAGGCAGACCAGAAGCTAGTCCTATGGCCACTGCTACTCTGTGCATTGTAGCACTTAGCGGATAGAGAAGTGGTAACTGGATAGTGCGCTATATTAGCAGAGGCTGGATTACAAATCCCTCTTCACCAATGGAACGCATATGGGGATTGTGGGCCAATTGCTATCTTTCAACCTAACCTACCTCACAGGGTTGTTGAGAGGCCAAAGGGAGAGAGGACAAGAGATTCTCTTGAGTTTCTTAGAGGAAGGGTGGGATTTAAAAAAATATGTAGAAGTTCTAGTGGATGACAAGCTGCTGCAATTCACCCTGAGTCTATGGATTAGGAAAATGTATTAAATAAAGAAGAAAACCTTCTTAGGGGGGACTTTGACACAGCATTCATATTTATATTTCACATCCTGTAAATATATACACTGCACACATGTGTTTATATGAATGGGACTTTAGGTTTTCTTGAAAGATTTGAAAAGTACAACTTGTTGAATCCTTTTTATGTTGCACATGTAGTTGAACACATCGCCAAGAGCTGAAAGAGTAAAGTTTCAGCGTTATTATAAACTGAAGAGTTCTTGGTCAGTGTGCTGCAGTTGATAAAATGCTCTTCGCAACCCTTATAAAATATTGTACCAAAAATGTGTCTAATAAATACCGGTAATATGCATATTGTTTGAAATCTTGATAAAGGCTGTGCCACTGATTTTTAATATTTCCAGACTTGTCTGGAATTAATTTTAACACTTTCGCATTAGGATTCCCCCAAGATGTTTCGCTGCTCTGGTCTGCTGTGCTACACAGTGTGACATCACAAGGAACATTCAAGCCTTCTGCAACATTCTACCTCTGGGATCATGTGCTGCTTTACTAGACACCCAAGCCACCTTAGATGCAGGAGAGAAGCTATAACTCAAAAAGGTAGGCCTCCTGACAGATTACATCAAATTATGACTCCTTGTACCCATGAGCTCCATACTATCCAAATTATATCCCCAAGGATAGCAGAATTACCTGCATAAATTCAAGCAGATGACATTTGAATAATTGCTATTTTACATAATACAGTGGTACCTCGGATTTTGAGTGTCTCAGAAGCCAAATGTTTTGGAACCCAAACACCGAAAACCTGGAAGTGAATGCTTCCATTTTCGAACGTGCCTTGGAAGTCGGAACGGCTTCTGAGGCACGTCCCTCAATTTTCTCAGTTGAATTTGCTGACCGCCCACCGTGCTTCGGTTGTCGAACGTTTCGGAAGTCGAACCTTCTTCTGGAACAGATTACATTCAACAACAGAGGTACCACTGTATTACCTTAGAAAAATTCTAGTCATAGGAAGAGGTGAGGCATTTTTTCAGCTACCTTGCTGGCTTCTGAAATCTGTGTCCACACAAACTTTCAAGTGGTATCTCTAGCACAGCTAGAAAGCAGCTCTTCTTAAAATACATATTTTCAAGAAGCTGAATGCTATCCACTACCAACTTTTTCCAAAACCTGCAAACTTGCACCATAGGGCTTGTCCCAACTTCTGCTTGTCCCATGCATAGAAAGCATGGGTCTGAGAGGTTTTCTGCTTCTCTTACGTTTTCTAGGCACAGATGCAGGAAGCTTTGCTTTTGCCCTGCCATTCCCCCCGGAAAACCCACTTTTAAAAATGGCAGTTCTAAATGGCAGCACTAAATCAGAACAAATGGCAGTTCACAGAAAACCCAATTACTGTTTTCTGATTCAGCACTAAACCGTGCAAAAGCTCTCTTCATAAGAGTGATATCACGGCAGCAAAATGGTTTTTTATGTACTCTCCACGTTAACTCGCGAAAAAGAGAATTGCCAAGATAAGCCTTCTCTAAATTTCCTCAGTTCAGGTTTTCGTACACAAGGAAAGGCTACTTTATTGTTGTATGAAAAATATTCCTGTATCTGTTTATTTGCTTCATTCAAAAACAACTATGCCAGGTCATATGGAACCAGACCTCCCACCTCTCTACTCATCATTCCCATTGCTAAAAGTTCCAACAGGAACCAACACAAATTCCCCCAAACACTCCTCTCTCTCATTAAAAAGAAGTGGGCACAAACACATTTTATTGAAACAATATAATGCCCCCCCCTTGTTTGGACATCATAGTATCAAACTTAAAATCTTTATATCAAAAGTTAGCATCTTAAAAATAAGTTTTATTCAAATGTATCAAGTCAAAATGTTTGTACACACAAAAAATCTTGAATGACATTAAAGACTTCCCTGCACATAAAAGTATGCTTCTCTGATAAACATTTTAACATACAATGCTTGCTCATTTCAAAAAGTAGGTTAACACTGGGTAAATAAGAGTGCGGACGAATAAGGTATTTCCTCTGATTTTGTTTAAAAAAAGGTTTAAGTAAAAAACAAAAATTGTACCATGGACAAATGCCATACCTTACAAAAATAAATAAATTTTAATCTATGGCATCTACTCTGCATGTAAAGGACTCTTTTTCAGATAACTTACGTTATCTTTAGTCACCTTTAGTTGGCACACTTTGTAGAAAATGATCATACATATTACGAAAAAATGGAATTAGTGCTCAAGTAGGAATGTAGCCTGAGGTTTTTCCTGAAACTACTAAAAAGGTTATCATGTCTGTTCTCCAGTAATGTGTAATTGATTCCCCATCTCTCTTACTGCCTCCTTCATGTGCGAACAAATTCAAGCTTCGAAGATGTCAGTAAGTGAAAATATGCTTCTATACCAGTTCATTCAGTGCTTTGCTAACTGGCATATGAGAGACCTCTTTCATCAACAAGCAAGAATTTTGAAAACTAGATACTTTTTCCACCCCTTTTGGACATTTGCTGAAAAACTCTGAATAATAAACATCCACTATGCTTAGGTGACAACATTCGGGGAAGTCATATTTTTACACACAGCAGCAACTTGGCCAAGAAAACCACTATTTCCCCCCAATGCAATGAAACCATAAAGTGCTATCTGTGAAATTATGTTATGTATACAATTCAGTTCTCTTTACCAAGAGCACCACAATTGTCACTGAAGTTCATATGTTGCCAAAGATGAGAAGTGCACACACACAAAATCATTATTTCCTTTTCTGATCATTGAGGAGACCATTGCAACCACTTTCTGTCCTTCCAAGTACCACTCAGAGGTGCTTTGATATAGGTTTTCCAAAGATGACTTAGTGGTAGCCACCCCTTTGTTCATTTCCTCGACTGAACAGAGTGTTATCCTCATCACATGTCAAGGCTGGAGCCTCCATATTCTCCAATAAAGTATGATGAGCCTCGTAACCATGGAGAGGCAAGATTGGCTCCTTTTTAACAGAAGATGTCAACTGGCTCCAGGTGGTGCCGACATTTTTAAAAGCATGCAGGAAGAAGATGCCTATAATTATGGTGAAGAAGCCACTCAAGGTCCCAATGATATCGCCAAGCTCCATGCTATTCCATTCCTTGAAGAGGATGACAGAGCAGATCACCACCATGGTTGTGAAGCACACATAATAAATGGGTGTCACTAGAGAAGTATGAAACACATCCAGTGATTTATTGAGGTAGTTAATCTGAGTACTGATAGACACCACCAAAACAGCTGCCAAAATATAAACCAATGGATGTCGGAAGACGGGCTTCTGATAAAGCATGTCTTTAATAGCAATGCCCAGACCCTTGACAGAGGAGACTGAGAACACACCAATCACTGAACAAATGGAAATGTACACCAGTATATTGCTCTGGCCGAGTCTTGGAGCAACACCAAAAATGAGGACCAGCGAGATCACAATTACAATAGTGGCAAATGCAACGAACACTGTTTGAGAGAAAGAGAAAGGAATATAATTAGTGTGTGTGAAGAACCAATTAAAATCACAATCAGGTCACTTCAGAGGGCTGGATCCAGATACCCATGAGCTCACAAAATATTCCTATTTTTGGTGAGGAGGTTGGGAGGGCCATTTCTGCTTATTCCCCCAGCAGCTCTCAAAAATCTGCTCCATAACATTTTCAAACAGCATGGAAAGCAATGTTGATGGAACTTCATCACTTTCTCCTCCTCCTCCTCCTCCTCCTCTTCCATGAATGATTCATTTTAGCTCTGGATTCAAGCCAGCATGAAAATCATGAATTAAAGACAGCATAGCTCCTCCCACTTTGGTGTGGAAATGTAGTTCCATGTATACATTTAAAACCTCTCCATTATCCTCTGCAGACCAAGGAAAGGGCTCTTCTGTACAGAGGAGTGCAAACTTAACACTCCTGCAGTGGGAGTTGTATGAACTCATCAGGTTCTAGATCAGAGGGAAATATATTTCACCTTCCAAGACTCCATGGAACTCTGCTTGCTTTTGCAAAAACCTAAATTCAGTTCTGCGTGCAGAGCCATTGCTGCAGGAGAAGCCACCTTTCGCAAAGGGGCTCCGCACTGCATTCTAACACTAAGAAGAAAGTTGATGACCATTTTCCTGTACTCCAACTGGATTCCAGTACTCTACAGCACACTGGGTGCTCTGGCTCCCCAACCCCTATAGGCCACTTTATCAGGTGGGGACAGTCACCCACCTATCATCACCATGAAGTCAGATGAAGCATTTTTGTTTGCCTGCACAGGCAAAGACGTAGAGCTTTGCAACTGTCAACGATCAGCTGACAGGCAGTGGCAGCAAACACCTCTTCTGGCAGAGAGCCATGTCTTTACCTGTGACATGACGTCAAAGATAGGTCTGGCTGATGTGGCCTCACAGGCCCAAGGGCTGGAGGTTCCTCTCTGCTGTTCTATGAAAACAGCAAATGCACGATGGATCTCTTCATGAATCAAAGTTTCTCAGCCAAGGGAAGTTTAAGAGAAATCTCAGCAGCCAGGAATGCGCTTTGCACCCAAAAATTCTGGGTCCAAAAGAACCTTAGGCATGATGAGGGTTGAGAAAGCGCTCTGGAGGAGCCACAATAAACAATACAGGGTTTAATGGGCCAAATTGCTTTGGTATAAGGGTGCTTCGCATGTCCAACATTGCCGCAGAAGCAAGAGAAAGCCACTGTGTGCCTCCACTCCTCAATTCCTTCAGAGCCAAAGTGCAAGGATATTTGCTCAAGCAATTAAACAGGCAGAGTACACAGTAATGTCAAGCTTGACTGCCTAACAAAATCAGTTTCCTGATCTCTGCAAAGCTACACACCCCTGCACCTGTCTGCATGGCAGAAGGGAGTATGGGTCCCACCCAAAGTTTACTTTCCCCTGCTTTTTTTGTTTGTTACTAGCAGCAGTGAGGGTGAAAGGACAATGTCAAGTGATACCAAAGTCCGATCTGAGCATTCACAGATCACAACTGCAAAGGGCCTGGGAGCAGTGGGGAAACAGGATGTATCCACCTAGTGGGGTTGCCACTCTAGCATCCAGGCCCATCTAACGTCCTATATTGGATGTAACATGGCAATGGGGGTCTATGCATTGTAGAGTACAATATGCACAGTCCACAATCCATCAACCCTATGAATGAGCAGGTTCTGCAGTAAAGCAGAAACTCCAACAAAGTACGCATTGCATTTACTTGTCCCAAGCCAATCATCTGAATGACATACCTGGGTCTTTTAGCTTTATCTCCATTTCATCCAAGGATGTAACCTGTTCCTCTTCAGGTGCATGAATCACCATCACAGTGGACCCCAAAATGCTCAATACGCAGCCCAGCTTCCCATGAATATTGAGCTCTTCATTCAAAAAATAGGAAGATAATATGGCGCTATTTGGATTTAAACGAAAAGAACACCACCGTAAATATAGCATGTAACAATATCTAGAATGTCGAAACTATAAATATGACAAATCGAAAAACTGAAGTTCAGAACAACCACAATGAATAGGAACAAAGGAAAATACAATGCATATTTGCAAAGTAAGATAAGGCTAGGTTGTGTACATATCTGTGGCACCACACCCTAAAGAATATTGTAGGGCAGTGACCTGAAAATTTCCTGCTCTTGCCGATTCTGTGGAATGCCATTCCCTCTGCCATATATGAGCTAGCAACCATCAGCTGCACCCGATGTCTTATAAAGACTTATCTTTTTCCCCACTTTCCCTGACCCATAAGAATGGGCCCTGCTTTATATTTAGGAATCTCTTCAATCTATGTTCCTTTCTGTTTAAAGAAAGAGGGGAGACTATACAAAGGATGTGTCTTTTCATGCCGGCATCACATGCACCTGTTCTACAGCACAGAAGTGCGTGTGTTTGGATTTGATAATCCCGCTTTATCACTACCCTGAAGGAGTCTCAAAGCGGCTAACATTCTCCTTTCCCTTCCTCCCCCACAACAAACACTCTGTGAGGTGAGTGAGGCTGAGAGACTTCAGAGAAGTGTGACTAGCCCAAGGTCACCCAGCAGCTGCATGTGGAGGAACGGGGGTTCACCAGATTACGAGTCTACCGCTCTTAACCACTACACCACACTGGCTCTCATATGAAAGGGTTGGACAGGTGCAGGTGTACACTAGTTTTCCTAAAAAGCAAGTCGTCGTCTCAGCTGGATAAGCACCCATAAATTGTTCATCGACTCACTGTTTCTGAGGCACAGAATTTCAAATACCACCTAGTGAAATCAAAAGCTTGATGCCACTGGGCTTAATGTGGAATTTAATGCCATATGTGCTAAAATATCACATTGCGAAGAAAGGCACTTGGTTCTGCAGAAAACATGGGGTTATTTCCATTTGTTTCAGCTGATTTTTAAGCAGTTGACAACATGCTCTTCTCAGAAGAAATATTGTGTATTTTACGTATGAAATGTAAAAAGGAAGCTGCTCTCAGCTGTAACAGATTCAGACTGTAAAACCACTGCCACCACTTAGGCCTTACCCAGATGGACACCTGCGGACCATTTAAACCATTGGAGTCGCCTGCCAATGTAATTTTTATGCTAGGCAAAATCCTTTTTTTTTTTTTACTGTTACAATTTAATATTTTCATCATGCTGCTTTTAGTATGTTCCCTGTACACTATAACCATTCTCTTTTCTATTTCGAAAGACTGCCTAAATAGACTTCTGTTCTGGTTCAGAGAGGCTGCTCTTATTTTTGTTGCTTCTGGGGCAAGGTGCCCCAAGATCTTGCCTGAAGGATGTGGTAGAAATATCCACAATAAAACAAGAGTGTAAGAGCTGGCAACTTGCTAACTTGCTTTCGGCCCAGTCAAATGACAGATTTCAGAGTGCTTAACACAGTGTACTGGATGTTGCTGTGAGCAAAATAAATTTGTACTGACCTTATGAGAACACTCAGTGCACCCAAAGGGGTGACCAAGGTGGCTGGTGCAAAGGCATAGGCGGCAAAGTTTGCTGCTTCCCCTATTCCCACTGCAAAAGAAACTGTTGTTAGCAAGGCAACAGAGATCTCCCGACAGTTGCAAGAACCTTGTTGTAAATGGGTGCTAATAGTTCCAACCTAGAAAGAATTTATACATCCAGTGACAACTTGATACCTCAAGGACGGCCTCTTTCCATACGAACCTACCTGGACCCTGAGATCAGCTTCTGAGGCCCTTCTTCATGTGCCTCCTCCTCGAGAGGTCCAGAGGGTGGCAGCATGAGAACGGGGCCTTCTCTGCAGTGGCTCCCTGCCTGTGGAATGCTCTCCCAAGGGAAGTTCGCCTGGCGCCTTTATTATACACCTTTAGGTGCCAGGCAAAAATGTTCCTTTTTAACCAGGCCTTTGGTTGACCTGAACGACATCCTGTACCCTTTTAAAATGCGGCTCTTTTTTGGTGGGGGGATTATTGGGTTATTGTTTTTATTTTGATTTCATATATTGTGATCTTTTCTGTGAAACAAATGAAGTTATTGTTCTGTTCTAAGAGTGCCTCATCCTTACTTAGATCCTCGGGGTGAGGATTAAGAGGTCACAGGTTCCCCATCACCTAATTGTAATACCTTGCTGCTGGGAGACATGAATGCTGCCAGAGTTATTTATGGAAGACCTCTGCTGTGGGAACAACTGGGAGAGATTTCTCTAATAACACAACTATAGTAGTGGTCATCTTACCCAGCACCCATCTTAAGTGAGGGTGTCTGCTGCACCATCTGGGAAATCTGGCAAAATCGTGGGCTGAGGAAACACCATACATTTAAAACACATCACCTTGCTCCCCGCTCCAGCAAGGAATCCTGGGAGCTATAGCTTAACCCTCACAGAGCTACAATTCGCAGCGTCTTTAAGCTACAGCTTCCAGGAAGTGTGCTTTTAAACAACTTTAAATGTATGGTGTGTGCACAGTCATTGTTTCCAAACAAGTATATGCACATAAGCTTTAAACACCAGTGCGTTCCTACAAGAAAAAACTGCCATTTGGCAGTGTGTGGAGCTGCCTGTATACTTTTAAAACAAACAGAGAAGCTCTTTAATACTCACTTGAAAGCAGCCCTGCCCACCACAGCCATTCCTTCAGGTAAGAGTGCCCACCCTGTCCTTAAAAGAGAAAGGCACTATTTTCAGTGAAAAGAATCAAGGAAAAGCCATAAAATATTTGAGGTATACCTTCTTGCTTGTTTTCATATTTTTAAAAAGTGATCTCTTATCCAAGCAAACCTCTAAGCCAGGCACAGGCAAACTCGGCCCTCCAGATGTTTTCAGAGTACAACTCCCATCATTCCTAGGTAACAGGACCAGTGGTCAGGGATGATGGGAGTTGTAGTCCCAAAACATCTGGAGGGCAGATTTTGCGTATGCTTGCTCTAAGCAGTTTTTTACTCCATTATTCTACCTGGCAATGCCAAAGAGAAAAGCTGGATGGTAAAACAATCCAAAGTCTAGGGAAGTTACTTTAATGTACAGTCATTCTACTGTGTGCCAACATTGAAAAATTGTAATATTAACAGTAACAAAGATTTACATTTTGTATTAATTTCATGCCGCATCAAGAACTTATTTAGCTGAAAAGTGAGTCAATATTGCAAGCTCCCAAAACAAACTGCCCACAAATTCGTATCACAGAAATTGTTATCTACTCTTCACAGCACTCCAACTCTGACTATTTGGACTACTGCAATGCGCTCTACACGGGGCTACCTTTGAAGGTGACCCGGAAACTACAACTAATCCAGAATGTGGCAGCTAGACTGGTGACTGGGAGCGGCCACCGAGACCACATAACACCAGTCTTGAAAGAACTACTTTGGCTCCCAGTACGTTTCCGAGCACAATTCAAAGTGTTCGTGCTGACCTTTAAAGCCCTAAACGGTCTCGGTCCAGTATACCTGAAGGAGCGTCTCCACCCCCATTGTTCAGTGAGGACACTGAGGTCCAGTGCCGAGGGTCTTTTGGCGGTTCCCTCACTGTGAGAAGTGAGGTTACAGGGAACCAGGCAGAGGGCCTTCTCGGTAGTGGCACCTGTCCTGTGGAATGCCCTCCCATCAGATGTCAAAAAAATTAACGGCTATCTGACGTTTAGAAGACACCTGAAGGCAGTCTGTTTAGGGAAGTTTTTAATGACTGATGTTTTAATGTATTTTTAATCTTTTGTTGGAAGCCGCCCAGATGGCGGGGTATAAATATTAAATTATTATAAATATAATTATATTATGACAGTTTCAAATACACATTTCAGAAATACAAGCCATGCTTTTGGACTTTTGAACATTTAAGAGAGGTTGGTTACAACTTTGAATGTTATGAAGCACAGTGCTATTTTTTTTCTTAAAAAAAGTGGTGCGAGAACTCACCACAAACGCCTCCCTTGTTCTGATAATGGCAATGGAATCCACCTGAGAGGTGCTAGAACTGAGTTCTGGCAAATTCCAGCTTTTAAAAAAGCCCTGTATAAAAGAATAAGTATTTCTTACCTGCTCTAGTGAACCCCTTTTCAGCCAACTGTAAAAGGCCCTTCTTTTTCAATATAAAGCTGGAACCAACAAAGATACTTGAGCCTATAGCCAAGGCGACACCTACATACAAGCTGTATTTGCTTCCTGTGGGTACTGAAACATTCAGCTCAGTTTCGTTGGAATATCTGCCGGAATAGGCAAAGAAAGAAGCTTCTAGCTTTGATACATTGAGGATTTGACACCAGGCATGATGAGAGTTGGAGCAGACCAGAGGAAACACGTCACCTGGGAAAAAGAAGAAAATTATATATATGACTGAAGCACATCAAATCCGCACACACAAAAGACTAAAAGCAACTATGCACATCTGTAACAAATGAAAACTCTTGCCCCTGCTCCAGGTTTTCGTAGAGCTTATTACTACGTTGAGAAGCCCAGCTTCTAATACAGCCACTTCCAAGGCAGGAAGCAATTAATAATCACTGAAAACATCCATTAAAAATGAAAGCATGCAGCAGAGTGACGTTGACAGGCAGCTGGGAGGGAGAGGCGTGTGGAGGAAAATAGCTGAAGGCAGAATTTGTGTCTGAATAGCACAGGGAGACTTTTTAGAGGGCTGTCCCAGAGAGGCAGGCACGCCAAGAGAGGGAGCTAAATAATCAGTAAATTCCTAGGTTACTTTCAGAAAAGCATTGCATCAGACACCGGTTCCGTTGCCAAATCTCGCATTAGTTGAATTTCATGCAAACTAATATGGGTCTGTATAGTTAAAGCTATGGTTTTCCCAGTAGTGATGTATGGAAGTGAGAGCTGGACCACAAAGAAAGCTGGTCGCTGAAGAATTGATGCTTTTGAACTATGGTGCTGGAGGAGACTCTTGAGAGTCCCATGGACTGCAAGAAGATCAAACCTATCCATTCTGAAGGAAATCAGCCCTGAGTGCTCACTGGAAGGACAGATCCTGAAGCTGAGGCTCCAATACTTTGGCCACCTCATGAGAAGAGAAGACTCCCTGGAAAAGACCCTGATGTTGGGAAAGATGGAGGACACAAGGAGAAGGGGACGACAGAGGACGAGATGGTTGGACAGTATTCTCGAAGCTACCAGCATGAGTCTGACCAAACTGCGGGCGGCAGTGGAAGACAGGAGGGCCTGGTGTGCTCTGGTCCATGGGGTCATGAAGAGTTGGACACGACTAAACGACAACAATATGGGCTTTACTTAGTCTGGAGGGGGAAAGTTAATTGGCACCGGGTGGGTGGGCCCTTCATGAATATACATGCCCCGGAAGAAAGTCATTCATTCATGAAGTTTTCATCATGATCCCCTGCCATACAAGTACCGGGGGTGGGGTGGGGAATGGGAGGCAGCAGGAGACAGATGGTCCCTTCATTTCAGCAAGGACTTGAGCGTAAAGCAAATTCCCTCTTTTTTTTAAGCAAATGGTTTTGCTTACAGACAGGCAACAGCACGATGTCCGGGTGGTGGTTTAACAGGTAGAAGAGATTGCAGACCACAGTGTTGCTTGTTCCAATTTTTCAAATGCTACCTATGTCTAGCAATGCAATTTTTTAATAATTTTAAAATATTTTTTTAAAGCTAGCAATGCAATTCTTGGAACAACAAAGGGATGAAAAACACATTGGCGGAGGGTGGGGAGGAATACCACCACAACTTACAGTGCGCATTCTTGATTGTGGAGAAAGAGGTCCCCTTAAAAGTGGAGAAGCAGGCTCTACCTTAACAGTTGTCGCAAACAGTTAAATAATGAAGTTATTGCTCCTCTTTAAAGAGGAGTCCAGAATCCAGTGAACAGCATGAGTCAAGGAGCACCGTTAGATGGACAAAGGCACTCAAATACTAAATACATACTAATGTCGCCACAAGAAGCCTCCACAGCAATCTTTCTCCACATGGTATTCCTTTGAATATATCTCATTTCTGAAGCAAGATTGCTTCATCACATGCACAGGTCCCCTCAATGCCCAAGGTATAAAGTGCTATTTATTCATCATTTCTGAGGTAAAGTTATTTACCATTCAGAAGTCTAATACACATTTATTTGTATCTGCAGGGCAAAAGATTGCATCTTAAAAAAAGGAACTGTAGTCTGGAGTAACACACACACAGAGAGACAGAGAGAGGAATATTGGTTGTTGCTGGGGGCAATAGCAAAATCCTATTAGACCAGTGGTCTCTCAATAGTCTTCTGAAATGAATACATAAACGGAAAGTATTAAGTGAGATCAGCTGGGTAGCAGCTTAATTTTTTGTGTTGTTTTTGTTTAAATGTCTTTGTTATGTCTTTGGTTACTCCTCTTTTCTCACAAATACTGTAATTAAATAAGTTAAGCTTTTATATTATTGCTATAGATTTGCATCCTTGAATATCTTGTCTTGTGAAGAATACAGAAGTTTTATTATCAAAATGCCATTGAAGTCAGAAAGCACATTGAATTCATCTTCTGGAAGTGGTATGACAAGGTTTTTATTTGAGCAGATATTTCAGCTAGGAATTCAACCTAAGTCTAATTTACTGTGTACATGTGTGACAGAAACCAAGGATAGCATAAATAACCATTTTCTTCCTCTACACTAAAATCTGATATAAAATCCAAATTTCACTCATCACAATAGCAGACTTCAATTGTTGTGTAAAAAAAGAAAATGATACCCGGTAAAACAACAGCGGTGTTTTGGTGCTTTCAAAAGGGGGCTTAATATTATACATGGCCTGTTCAGATATCACTGGCAGCATGTTAGCTTTAACATCAGATTTTCCTCAGAAAGGGTAAATAGCAGACAAAGTTAGCAAGGGTTGATGTACTCCTTCCCTTCTTAATAGAAATAAATACTTCAAATAAAGTACTGTAATGTGCAATTATCCGCTCAAAACTAGAAGGGCAGATAAAGAAAGATTTTCCTCATGAGCACCTCCATCTCACATTCCCGCCAAAATTTGCAGCCCGTCAAGTTCCATTCAAAGCAGCCTGCAAATTGAACTACCTGCCACCTAGAACCTCAGAGGTTAATGGGCAGACTGCAGTGAACAATGACTCGCAGTGTTTACATATTTCAAATGCAGTTTCACTGACAGAAGGGCCACATTGCTTAAATTGCTTTGATGACTACTCTCAGTTTCAACACAAAATAACTGTGTGTGCGTGCCCAGTCAGATTGAGTCAGATCAGATTTTCATTTCAATGAGACTTATCTTGCTTTCGGGGCCAGACATTTGCCAACTCACTTCCTATGAAACGCACGGCTCTCATTTGCTAGAATCAACACAGCAACACCGCTTCAAATATACGTTCTGCGCGGCTTTAAATCGAGGGCCTATAACCTAGTCACATGAGCTTTTTTGTGGAACAACTGCAGTTACAGAATCACAGAACTGCAGAGTTGGAAAGGACCCCGAGGGTCACAGAGTCCAACCCCCTGCAATGCAGAAATCTCAACTAAAACATCCATGACTATCCAACCTCTGCTTAAAAGTCTCAGATCAGAAATCACACATCGTTTTCACATCACTTGAGCGCTGTGCCCCACAGTGGAAGAAGCCATTAGCTCCAAAGTGGTTCTGCCAGTGCTTTATAGAGATGTTCATATGTTCAGTTCAATTGACAACACCCATCATGTGACCTGCTATCATGCTTTCAATGGATGCCTCCCTGACGAGATAAGAATAAAAGGTAATTTAATAAGTGGCAAACCTTTCACTAGGTAATCATGCAATTCTGAAAGTTAGCACGTTATATTGCTGATATAAATATCAAAGGGCAGTACCTTTCCACCTGGTAATAAATTACATCATATTATACCATTTCCCCACCCTGTGACAAACATCACCCTATGGTAGTTTCTTGTACAGTCATACCTCGGGTTGAATGTGCTTCAGGTTGATCGCTTTCGGGTTGTGCTCCATGGCAACCCGAAAGTAACGGAGTGCGTTACTTCCAGGTTTCGCTGCTCACGCATGCACAGACGCTCAAAATGACGTCATGCGCATGCGCGGAAGCGGCAAAACGCAACCCACGCACACGCACTGTCGCGTCTTACGTTCTATTCAGGATGCGAACAGGGCTCCGGAACGGATCCCGTTCGCATCCCGAGGTACCACTGTACAGAAGAACCTTGGTTTTCAAACGTAATATGTTCCGGAAGTCTGTTCAACTTCCAAGGCATGTTCGAAAACGGAAGCATTCAATTCTGGGTTTTCAGTTTTCGGCTTCTGAAAAGTTTGGCACAGTGCCAGATTTACGTATAAGTTAAACAAGCTATAGCTTAGGGCCCCACTCTCTTGGGGGCCCCAAAAAATTTAAAGGAAAGAAACCTGGATGTACATTTCCAAAATACAATATAAAAAACAAATAAAATAAAACCTACATACAGCAACAGTGTTTTGTGTTGTGTAGGCTCCCATGATGTAAGTATTGGGCCCCGCCTGCTAGCCTGCTCCCTAAAACATCACCGGTTTGCTCATTTCTATATATAGGGTGCCTGCATTTTGCATGGAATGTATTTCAGTTCAACAATTACTTTGATAAAATACATATTTTGTTATGTGCAAATGGCTTTAGATACCTATTAGGTCCATAAATTACCATATAGCATATATTCAACACAAAAAACAGCGACAAATTGTTGTTGACCAAGGACAGCTGGACATATAAAGGGCCCCATTACCTTCAGTAGCTTAGGGCCTCCTCAAACCTAAATCCGGCCCTGGTTCGGCAGCCGAGACGTTCGAAAACTGAGGTTTGACTGTACAGTGTATTGAGTAAAACCATTTCTGTCCTCTCATTATCCTATTTCATCCTTTTTACTATGATCCCACACTCATGGAACTACATTTTTATTCAAGCCCTACTCTTGCAGGGCCTTTCTATCATAAGTGTAAATAAACCATCTATCATAAAGACACTGCAGTTTCTGCTGCCTCATTCCTAAGGAAACACGAACCCGAATCAGTGGAGGGTCTCCAATTTCAGTGGCGCAACCCCACTGCCTCTCACGCTCATTCTAAATAATAGCTGCGCAGCCGAACTGGTCGCACTCCCCTAAATTTGCCTCTGCCTGGGTATGTGGCCGGAAACCCTGAAATCTCACACTGCTCAGAGACTGGAGTAGCACGAAACAATATAATAACAGCTGAAATATGGCTATCTATACAATCTTTGGCATGCATTATTTCACTGCAGTTGAGACAGAGGTGCTTTCTTCAAATTTTAAGGGTATTGCTTTATTAGTGGCTGGGCTCATGCATTTCATATTATTACTTGCAAGCTGCTCTTTGATTTCCCCCCACAAAAATTATAAAGAGTGGTGTACTGTGTAAATACAACAAATATAATCTATAATGCTGCCCACGGCCCTTTTTATAGAGACACCCAATCAACAGGGACAGCTTTCCCACCACTGCACCACACACCAGAAGGAAGTTTAACCGGTTACATTTCTGCTCCCAGCTGAGCAGTGTTAGAAACTGAGATATGAAAGCTAGGAGCTAAATGGCACCTTAAACCTAGCTTATGGGCGCCACAATGGAATGTCTAGGCACATTTTTTAAAATAACAAGAATACAAAGCTGAAAATGAATGAACTGCAGCTAAAATCTTATGTTCATTTTTCACATGTTCTAGTCCTTCCCCTGCCAAACCCCCCTAATATTCTTAAGAGGGTCTCTTCTCCAGTCTTCAGGGAGTAGCTGGAAGTGGGGAGGCAGAAAAAGGTCCTCCTTTCCTTCCACTCTGCCGTTTTAATCTGATATCTTAGGCGCAGCACTGCACCCTGAGTTCAGAAACTGCTTGCTAATGAAATTCCCGGTCGCAGAACGCACCTAGAACAAGGCAGTTGAGCTCTGCAAAGAAACGTTGGCCACTCTAGGCAGGCAGAACGAAGGGGGATTTTGAGAAAGCCAATGCCTCGGAGGAGCAGGTGCAGAGACCATGGGTGCCAAATCCCTGGGGCCCTGAGCACCGAAAAATTCCCCATGAAGGTGTCAGGCACCCACAAATTTCGGTGCAGGGCCCCCAACGGCCTCGGGCCCCCACGGTCTCGGGGCCAAGTTGGCACTCCTGGCAGAGACTATGCTGCCTCCAAAACCTCGAGCAACTCACAGAATTAGGGCTTCTAAAAAGCAGAGACATCACCTTGTCAACAAAGGTTCGTATAGTTAAAGCCATGGTTTTCCCAGTAGTGATGTATGGAAGTGAGAGCTGGACCATAAAAAAGGCTGATCGCCGAAAAATTGATGCTTTTGAATTATGGTGCTGGAGGAGACTCTTGAGAGTCCCATGGACTGCAAGAAGATCAAACCTCTCCATTCTTAAGGAAATCAGCCCTGAGTGCTCACTGGAAGGACAGATGGTGAAGCTGAGGCTCCAATACTTTGGCCACCTCATGAGAAGAGAAGACTCCCTGGAAAAGACCCTGATGTTGGGAAAGATGGAGGGCACAAGGCGAAGGGGACGACAGAGGACGAGATGGTTGGACAGTGTTGTCGAAGCTACCAGCATGAGTTTGACCAAACTGCGGGAGGCAGTGGAAGACAGAAGAGCCTGGCGTGCTCTGGTCCAGGGGGTCACGAAGAGTCGGACACGACTAAACAACAACAACAACAAAACCAAAAGAACGAACTTCCCCTGGCTGGAGTAGAATATCCTCAGGTGTTCATTCCTCCCCCCCCTTCCGCCTCTCCATGTGGAAATCAGGCATCAACAGGGGGATGTGGGATGGGATGTGGGATTTCGGGGGGGGTACCCCGCGCGACAACGACTGACCTTCGCGGCACGCGCTCCGGAGGGACGCCGCTTTCTCTCCCATGGCACTTTCTCCAAAGGCGCGCTGCGCCAGAATCGAGTCCCCTTACGCACGGCTCTAGCTACCGTGCCAAACGCAGAAAGCTCTCGCCGCTTCCAAGGCGAGCCCGCCCCCTTTCCGCTTGGAAGAAGTGGCACTTTCTCGCCGCCTCTCCCTCGCCGGCCAATCGCAGCCCCAGGGCGGGCGTGGAGGGCAGAGCGCGCGGACCTCTCGCTTCTTCCACATCCCCACCCTCCTCCTCCTCCTCGCCGGTCCATTGTGACGCAACAATGGCGAGTTGGCCGGCGAGGGAACTCCGCGCTAGCCCGCGTTCCTGGTATGGCGAAACTTCTTGCATAAGTGATATGAGCCTCGCCTCATTTCCATTACCCACTTCCATCATTCGGAGCGGGTAAAGTTCTTCAAGGCTGAGGCATCCGAGCCCCTACCCAAAACCAGTTTCTCCAGAGTCATGGAGGATAAACCTTTCTCTTCAACCAGGCTGATTAACACACTCAGATGTGTTGGGGGCAGGGGGCAGGGGGGAGGTTATTGGTTCGTTTTGGTTTAATTATGTACTTTGTATTCTCATTTTGTGTCTTTCTGTTGTGAACGGCCCCCACGATCATTGGCCGAAGGGCAGTATACAGATTTAATAAATAATACTATTCTTGTTTATTAATCTGAATTACTTTCTCTTAATGTTCTAGCTCAAGAGCAATTGAGAAGATGCATCCACACCACAACCATACCATTCGTATTCTGCTATTTTTCTGGGGAAAGAAGTGCCGGAGCTCACCATGAACACCTCCCTCGTTCTCTTAGAATGGCAGTGGCACCCACCTAAAAAAAAAAGCCCTGAGTATTTCTCCGTATGGGACGCAGGTGGCGCTGTGGGTTAAACCACAGAGCCTAGGACTTTGTGATCAGAAGGTCAGCGGTTCGAATCTCCACGACAGGGTGAGCTCCCGTTGCTCTGTCCCTGCTCCTGCCAACCTAACAGTTCGAAAGCACATCAAAGTGCAAGTAGATAAATAGGTATCGGCGGGATGGTAAACGGCATTTACGTGCGCTGCTCTGGTTTGCCAGAAGTGGCTTAGTCATGCTGACCACATGACCCAGAAGCTGTACGCCGGCTCCCTCAGCCAATAAAGCGAGATGAGCGCTGCAACCCCAGAGTCGGCCACGACTGGACCTAATGGTCAGGGGTCCCTTTACCTTATTACTCCATAGTCAGGCCACTCCAACTACGCTTAAACACACACAGGCAGGTTTGTTCCGTGTGTAAATGTCATCAGTGTGGGAAGGACTGCTAAGGCTGCTGGAATCCTGCACCCTTTACCAAGGGAGTAAACTCAATTTAACTTACCGTAATAAAAATATACTGTTGTGTATACAGAGTTGCACAGTCAATAGAGGCTTTCCACTTGCATTAGTAATCCAGTAAGCAAACACCACTTTAAGCCTCTCTGCCACCAGCAGGGATTAGTATCAATTCTGTCTTAAGTCTGCCTTCAGAAAGTGAAAAGGAGCCATGATCCCTGAGCATCCTTACTTTGTTCTGAGTACAAACAGGTGGTTAATTTGTGTTGGAAGCAATGAATCCATGCTAAGTTAACAGGATTGTAAACAGATTGAGGAGAGGTCAGTTAAAAAAAAGTCAGCAAACTTCTGTAAGTTGCATCTGTGTGCACCTTTAGTCTTTTAACATGTAGGATTTCTGGAGGAATAGCAATATTAATTTATTGTGGCGGGGGAGAGACTTTTGGCACCTTAAAGGGCAACACATTTATTATGGTACAAAATACAGACTAATCAGAAGCATGAAGTTATGAGAATATGTAGTGGAGGCGAATTGTGATCAGGTCAGAATGAAGTGAAATACAGAAAGTGCATTAGGTGATGATTATACTATTAACTGTGGCTATTTACAAAAACCTGTTGTCAGTTGATAACCGACTTTAAGTAGGCCAGTTAACAGATGTAGCGCAAGACGCCCTTCAGTCCAAAAGTGATAGCACTGAAACTCTTGAGCAACAGTAATTTGTGGTTTCATTTTGCAGTCTTCCTTTAAAGTACCTATCTCAAAGGCTGTTTCTCTGCTGGTTTTGGATATTGCCATTTTGGATATCGGTTTGTGTTAATATTGTGTGTGTGTAGAAACAATGGTAGCATAAACTAGTTAACTGAAACTGTGTATTCCTTTTATATTTACTGATTCCTCTCCTTTTAATTATCGCAATAATAAATTAGACCATAAACTTGTTGAGGCAGAGATGTATCCTATTGCCCACTGTCAGGTGACATACACGCTAATGGTACTTACATTATATTATTTATAATTATTAGTCTGGTCCAGTGAGTTAACTTTACAATGTGCCTTTTTAACTACAGAGCAGACTTAAACTTCATTTGATTTGCAAACCACTACGGGGGCCTCTGCCCAGAACTTTATATACAGTATAACTTTGTTTTATCTGTTATCAGTTAACTGTACAACTACATCCATGTCTGTTTACAAGTAAGTCCTGTGGAATTCAATGGAGTTAAGTCCCATGTATTGCTAACTGCTAAGTAGAGACCGAATTCAACAATGAAGGCTCAGCAAATAATACATACTTCATACATATTGAGTATTATTGAAGAAGATTCTGGGGTCCAGGAGCAAAAAAGGTATATTATTAGGACTGTTGTTTATTTTGAACTATGCTGCCATTGGGGAGCAGAGTAGTACACGCCAGTGTCTTTCATAATTCTAAAAGTAGTTGATCATCTGTAATTGGTTTTGGGATTGTGGTCTTGTTTCTGGTTCTGGAGGTTTGTTTTGAAGGCTACTTACTTGGGCCTCAGTAACTCTTAAAATGGCTATTACAGTTCTGTGTAGTTGGCTGTTTTAAGCACAAACCCATAAGTGAAACCTGACTTGTTGCAACAATTGACATAAAGGTAAAGGGACCCCTGAGCATTAGGTCCAATTGTGGCCAACTCTGGGGTTGTGGCGCTCATCTCGCTTTATTGGCCGAGGAAGCCGGCGTACAGCTTCTGGGTCATGTGGCCAGCATGACTAAGCCGCTTCTGGCGAACCAGAGCAGCGCACGGAAACAATTGACATATTTGCCTATAAATGTAGGAGAAATGTCCATCTTCTTACTAGGAAAATATGTAGCTCTATGATAACCAAGGCAGGCGGTGAATATGAAACAATCATTATAGTTCTAAGTTGTTGAATATAATGTTGAATATATGTTGAAGTGCATCCCACACCAGCTCAAAGTAGTTTTCCTGGTCCTGGCAGTGGAAAGCCTTAAAGAATATTCCCTTCTTCTCCTGCTATGCTACACAATGCTTGATGGCTACTAGCCCCTAACCCATTTAAAAACTATATAGTGGGAGTCATGCAATTGGAAGCATACTGTGCTACCCGAATACCCCCTCAAAGCATTAATAGCAGTGCTTTTTTCTGGGGACATACACAGGTACGCATACCCCTAAACATTTTGTGAATCTAAGTTTGGCCTCATTGAGGGGCAGTATTTCAATATGAGTAGGAAAATGAGAGAAGCACTGATTAATAGTACATAGGAAGATAACAAATGTAGAGCTCTATTCTCAGAACCAAATGTAGCAACAGGAGCACTAGTCAAACTAATGTTTCCAGGAACAACACAGTACTTTTAAAGTTTATATTTTGATAAGTGGAGTGAGAATTGCTTCATTAAATTTTTAAGTGGTTTGTAGATGTCATGATTTTTATGCAACTACTGATTTAGGCAAATAAAGATAATATGCAAGAGAACACCTGGTTAAGAGGGTAGCATGAGTAGAGAAATAATCTGCAATTTACTCAGAGAAACAACAGAAAGCTGCAGGTTTGCAGCATCTCCAGTAATTGACTGCATAAGTAACTCAGCTTCTCTGCATGGGTGTGAAATCCATATGATTGATGCTTCCTCTCCCTAAGAAATTGACTGGGAATTAATACTACAACCCTAATCCTGCTTTACCTGGGAGTAAGCCCCATTGAATTCAATGGAACTTACTCCTCCAGCAGATATACCGGTAATTAGGATTTCACCGTTAGTAAATGTCACATGAGTTGTGTTGCTTCCAAATGTCTTGTAATCACCATGAATTTTATATTGTTTACCTCCGTCTATCCACCAGAAACTCACAACTTGTTTTTCTGGTTTAAGAATAGTTATGAAATAGCAAAAGTAATTTCCTGAAGCTTTAACAATCCAGACAAAGCCACCATCAGCTGTATAATTGTCTGCCAATTTGCTGCCTGATTCCGCAACACTTCCATTTCACGAGCCTTAAGCCAGAGTTGCCAGGCTCCAATTCAAACTACTGGTTAAATGGAAGGCAAAGCGACCAAGTCCTTCATCTGCCCCCTCTTGTACCTGCTGTAGTGAATAGGGCTCCAGATGTCATACATAGCAAATAGGAAGGCAGCAGATGCATGGGAAAAGGCTATGTATGTGTTTTACAGTAAAGGTAAAGGGACCCCTGACCATTAGGTCCAGTCGTGGCTGACTCTGGGGTTGTGGCGCTCATCTCACTTTATTGGCCAAGGGAGCCAGTGTACAGCTTCCAGGCCATGTGGCCAGCATGACTAAGCCGCTTCTGGTGAACCAGAGCAGCGCACGGAAATGCTGTTTACCTTCCCGCCAGAGCGGTACCTATTTATCTACTTGCACTTTGACGTACTTTCGAACTGCTATGTTGGCAGGAGCAGGGACTGAGCAACGGGAGCTCACCCCGTCGCGGGGATTCGAACCGCCAACCTTCCGATCGGCAAGTCCTAGGCTCTGTGGTTTAACCCACAGCACCACCCACGTCCCTTCTGTGTTTTACGGTACAAGCCTGTAAATGTCTACTCACAAACAAGTCCCGCTGCGTCCTTAATTTCCACCTTGCATTCGAGTTCCAGTCGTGACGGAAGCAGAAAACATAGCCACGCATTTTGCTCTAAATCAATATTCTACGCTAGTTTTAACACAAGACATTGTTTCAGAGGTATAAATTGTGTAATTTTAAAAGCAAAGAGGTACAAACCTAGCAAAATCAATGGGCTTGAGTGT